ATCCAATTTGAGTAGGTGTCGAAGCTACTAGTAGATATTGAAAAAGCTTGGTTAGCCTTAAAATTCTCCTATGTCCTGCGACCCATTGTCACTCGTCACGGTAATAGCAACTTGTAGGAATCACACCTTGCACAACTCGAGTTCGGTCAGCGTTGAAGATGCTGTCTGGACCAGTTGAGGCGGGGTACAGTTCAGCTGCAATGAAAATACCCTTTGGGAAGCGAGCTTAAGCTTACTTCCATATGAAAGTGAGGCCACCTCATGCCATTGTGAGAAAAGTTCATCTATCACTTAAGAACACTAGCAGATCAGTTCTATGTTTTTATTGATTTACTTTGTTTTCTACATAGTGATGCAAAACGGGTAGTTTAAGCTTTATACTTTAATATGATTAGGACCTACGTTTTCATTAAATTTCACACTATGTTTATTTTATAGTTTTTTCTTTACACGTTAAAATTGTGAAAAATCTATAGATTTCATAAAATCCTAATATTTCTATTTTATTTTTTTTTCACTACAGACTATTTAGATGACTATGTATTTGATATAATTGTAAAGAACTATTTTTTTTCCCAATCACATGCGTCCTCGGATGAATGGAACTCTTATTCCCAACATTTTTCTTGTAACTTGTCGCCCTAATCATCCTATTTCAGCATCACTGTCGACATTGTGGAAAAGTTGTTTGTGACAAGTGCTCATCGTATCGGTGGCTTTTGCCTTATCTTGGCTCCGACCGAGTACGCGTCTGTCGTCTCTGTCATAATGAACTGCAGGCAGAACAGTTGCACTCGTCACGCCGACTGCGCACTAGTGACCCACCCAGTCTTCAGTACCAGTTCCAGAAACAGCCGACATCTACACCGGCACTGGCACCAACCACTTCTCATTCATCCGTTATCATCACAAGTGTCTTTACGTCAGGTTCACAGCTTCACCATCAGCCTTCACAGCCTTCACATCTATGTCAACCGGAGGGGACCACGAGTCTATATACAAGTGCTACGCCCGTGGATGCATCCGTAATGCACCAGAAAGTTGCTACTTCTTGCGTGGCCGCCGGCGTCCCAGTTAATGTATCTTATTTGAACGTCCCTGCTCAACAAACTCAGAGTCATACAGGTGCTTTGTCAGTTCATTTTGTCTTGAATGACCTTTATTTTATTTAGTGTTCACCTGTGCATACGTATTTATGCATGCATTATCTATCCTTTTTGAGCGCACTTGGGTTTTGCTAGCTCCTCTCCTTGCATACTCTTCGAGGTGAGAATGCAGATCTTGGATGTGTCGAAGGCTCCTTAGGCTGGATTATCGATGTACTGCGGAAATGATGGTCACACACGACACAATGAGTGCGGGCTTGGGCCAGAGAGGGACTGGATAACCTAAAGGGCCGAAGATGAAAGATGGACTAGCAAATTTGAGAGCGAAGAATCGCTTTTCACACCACTTGGCATAGCCGTTGTGAGGGTACCCAAGCTTATGATGGTCTCATTTAAAGTAGTGGACGAAGAAAAGTAGATAGAAGGCATTCACGATCACTCATCAGGCGATGCGAGCTTGTGATGTTGATAATACGCATGAAGTTAGGATGTAAAAATGAGAAAAGATTGGGTTCCTACCATTTGAATGTCAAATTTTATGTATTTCCTGTTTGAGGATTTCATCCAGCCGGCGTTTGTCTTCATTACTGACCTGAAACTCGATATTCCTTCTTGTGATTATGCATTTTATATCGTCAGACCGCTATTGTGCGACATACTTGCATCAAATGATGCATGTAATACTCATATTGTTCTAATTGCTAGAGCCTAGGTCTAATTAAGGCATCTTTTTGGCTCAAAAATTTATGTCTATACCTAATCTTCTTCCCTAATCGGGGATGATTCGTATATGTTTTTACGTTTCAAACTTTTTCCATTCCATATATTTAGACGAATCAGGTTTTCATGACTATCAGTACATTTAGAATAAGAGTTCCAATCACTCTAAGTTGCTTAAAGTGATGTAGAACTGATAGTTGAATTTTTCCCACAACCATATGAATAGTCAGCTCATTTACATTCAACTTCACCTTGCTTTCCATTCCAAAAGGTATTCTCATCCAGGCTGGATTGCACTGAAGTTTTGACCTCGCATCCCCAGCGGGAATCTTGTCGAGATCATAGGCATCGCTGCCACATCCCTGGTTCGATTCCCGCTGTGGATGCTTGTGAGACCCATGTGAGATGGAAACTGCAGTCTAGTCTAGCCGGGATTTAAATACTTTTTGAGATGCAAGGCTAAACGAATTTAAATGAAAACGTAAGGCCTACTCATATAATTTTGGATAAAATTCACTTATAATTCCTTCATCATCTTATGCGACTTTGGGTGAATGGAATTCTTTTTCCATTTATACTGGCGTACCTTTCATTTCGTTTGAGAAAGTGGTTCGAAAGGATTCATAGATTGGCCTCACCGGATATCGCAGGAAGGTTGCCCTGGACTTTTATCGGTTATATTGTGCGATATCCAGTGAGGCCAATCTACGAATCCATTCGACCCGCCCTCTCAAACGATATGAAAGTTACGCCTGTATCAATCTATTAAGGGATTCTTTGAAAACCAGCTTCTTTCCATATCCTTTTCCATTTGTTTATTTTTATGAATTCTCTTATTTTCGCTCTACTGCTATAAGCGAATAAACAATTCTTCCAACGATGAATGTCACAACATGAACACAATTTTAAGACACTGATCTAGAAATAGGATAAAGCGAATAATAGATCAACAATACAATTTTTAGTTAAGCAGAAAGCATAGGGGATGAGTGATAGTTCCAAGAGGAGTCTGGGAGTTAGTTTAAACTGCAAGCTAGAAAAGAATGTATGCATGGATAGAGAGGCTATCGAGATTCTCAGCACCTCAAGACTTAACGAATACTTTTGTATTTTTCCATGCAGTTTTGGAGTTCTAACTATGACACTGTTAGTCAATTTGTTGAGGAATAGTAGGCTCACATCAAAATCACTTTTTTCAATTTGCTATAAGACCAATTCACTAACCCAGCACACTCAACTTTTTTTGCCTTGAAAAATCTTAATTTATCAAAACCCTTTTTTCTAGTTGATTTTTACAGCTATTTGACTTTGAGGTTTCTGCATTACTTCTAGTCTTCACAATTAAACGAAGGAATTGTTTTTTTAAATTATATATTAACAAGTTGCATCACTTGTTTGCAATTTCACATTGCGCCTATACTTTTAAGCCAGCATGTTTTGGGGTTTTGCATGTAATTTATTCAGCATGATTCACCTTTTTGCTCAGGCGAATATCTATAATTTGTTTTGAGACAAATCTATTGCAGGAATAGTAATAATATTCCTCCACCGTGTTTCATCATTTCCCGAGTAGTCTTTTGGGCTTGCGTCATATTTTTCTAAATTAAACACAAGTGTACCTATGCTTAGTTTTCGAATACTTTAAATAACAAAACCTCGAGCTTTTTTGTCTTATTGAGCGAAAGTAATCGTCACTTTCGATGGCTTTCGATTTTGTGCTAAATTACCTTATCAAGTTGGCCTTCGGTTCGCCTCAAAGTTTGTAATGAAGCGGTTTGCAATAGATGCTGCTTGGTCTGTTGTAATTTGCTCTTGCTAAGACCTTCAGATTAGCGCAGGCATAGAGACACCCTCCTTCGGCCTCAATGTAAATGAGCTGAGCTTTAGTCTGCCATGCCATTTGGCAGGCACTAACAGAGCTGGAACTCTTTATTATGGTTACTTCAAGCGTATACTGATTAAAAAGATGCATGGAAGAAGGGTTGAAAGTTGAGTAAGGACTACTGATGTTTGATTGATAGATTTCAGGAGAGAGTTGTGAGTCACCTTCAAAAAGAACGAGGTCTATCTAGCCTTTTATGGTTTTAATTATAACCG